AACATATAAATTTAAGCTAAACTATCAAGAACTTACCAAAATTCAATTTCAATACTGTGTCCACTAACGCTCAATGAACATTCAGCAGATGTACGACTATTATGTACATGAAAGTTGTGCAAACGAATAAATGTTGTATTCAAATTTTCCTTATTCAATAAAATATTCATGATCGCATGGACAATACAAAGTCACTTAATTAAAAGTTATTGGATATTATGTTTTGCCAATTGAACCACTATAAAGCGTTGATTTAATATATTACTTTCCATTCACGCAGCTAGATATTTTGGAAGAATTCTGATGCAAGGTATTCCCGAACAATTTTCATGGTGCTGATGATTTCGCTGATATGCTAAAACTCTTTTCAGTTGCAATTTTGTGATATTCCCGATGCCGCGCTAAATTGAGTCATTATAGTGAGTGTATTTTAGGATATTTATATCTCATTAAATAATTGCTTGTGACATTTGCAGTCTTGCATATCTATCTATTTTTGTATGATTGTCTATTAGGGTTCCATGCATTTTGATCTATTCCTATACCTACTGCATCTGCTTCACTTTTATTCGTTTCTATCTTAGTCGGTTTTCTGTTGATACGATACTCGATAATATTTATTATTGCAGGTGGCATTTCTCTAAATATATAGCACCCCTGCAGTGTGCGGAGTATATTACGCTGTAATATCGAGTTTTCACTGTATCTTCCCTCACTTCTTGTAGGCGTCAATGGGAGAATGGGTCGCAAAACGGCAACATTTATATATATATATATATATATATATATATATATATATATATATATATATATATATATATATATATATATATATATATACATATATATATATAAATATATATATAAATATATATATATATATATATAGTAGTATTGAGCACTCTTTTATCTATAACGAAAAACAAAACTGTTTATATATATATATATATATAAACAGGGTGTAAAAAACTGAACAGATATGAATTTGCTCTCAATTTTGGAAAACAGCTATTAGTATCCAGTTTTTTATGTATATAGCTTCCTTGGGTACTTATAATGTAGAATAATGAAAAATATTTCTCAAACTCAAATTTTGTGAACCACGGGGGGTGGGGAGGGGTGTTTTCCAACAACCTAAAAATGGCTTGCGCACGAAATTTAAAAGCAGTAATCATCTTTTGAGTTAATAGATGGAAAATTTGTTGGGTTCTTAATTACTGTACAAAATTTCAGACAATTTGCTTTAGTTTAAATCCTTTAACTATTCATTTTTCCCTAAAAAATCAGCCTTTCGCATGCTTAATTGATGCCTTTACTTAATTTGCATATTGCTGACATATGCAAATTAGGCAAAGGCATTAATTAAGCATCTTTGCAGGCATAGTGAAAGAGCTTAAACTAAAGCAAATTATCAAATTTTGTGAACCAGGGGAGTGTGTTTTTTCCAACAAACTAAAAATGGATCGCGCACAAAATTTAAAACTTGTAATCATATTTTGAGTTAATAGATGGAAAATATGTTGGGTTTTTAATTACTGTACAAAATTTCAGACAATTTGGTTTAGTTTAAGTCCTTTAACTATTCATTTTATTCCAAAAAATCAGCCTTTCGCATGCCTAATTAATGCCTTTACCTAATTTGCATATTGCTGACATATGCAAATTAGGCAAAGGCATTAATTAAGCATGCAAATAGCTGATTTTTAGGAAAAATGTAAGTTTGCGTGAATAGTTAGAGGGCTTAAATTAAACGAAATTGTCTGAAATTTTGTACAGTAATTAAAAACCCGACAAATGTTCCTCATATAACTCAAAATCCCGACATATTAACTCGAAATATGATTACAACTTTTAAATTTTGTGCGCGAGCCTATTTTTAGTTTGTTGGAAAAGGCACACCCCCTGGTTCACAAAATTTGAGTTCGAGAACACAAATAGGTGTTTTAGGTAACACAAATAGGTGTTTTGAGAAATTGAGAGCAATTTCAAATCTGTTCAGTTTTCTTTATACATCCTGTAGTTCAACAGCAATTTATAGTTCGGAGGTTTATGGTAATTAGATGTTACTAAAATAAAACCGAAAGAAAACTATTAACTGAAGTGTACTGCATGTATATGAATGTCTTGTTCATGGAATAACAGCAAATCTGAAATAAATTAACTCAAATACTCAGAGTCCACCATCATCAACCCTAGAAAAAAGTTGACATTTCTGAACGTCAAGTGAATTAGAACATCCTAGTTCATTCCACAAAGCATGTAAAATGTACTTTCAATGAGGTTCTTGAACTAATTTTAAATCATGGCTAAGCTCAGTAACAACATTATTGACGTCCGAACCTCTTAGTCAGTAATCACCATGTTAAACCTAGAGATCAGCATACTCTTCAACTGATTTGTTAATTGAACTTTGCCGCTTGACATCGTTGATGTGGAATTGGCGTAAGATTTTGTACAAATGTCATTCATATGGTAGTGCCTAACACCCGACGTAATCTTGTAGCATCCTTCATTTTGGTTCCACAAGTAGTAAGCCTCGTGTCTTCCAAGACAGTACAAGGAATCTTCTTGACTTTCAAAACCTGGTAGCGATTTAAAATATGCTTACCACAACCAGAACACTTTCGGATTCCACCAGCGATTCTCTTTGCAACAAGTGGTGACGAGGTAGCAGGATCAGATGGCTTTTTATTTCTTGAAATGACTAAGTTAGTCGGATTTATATTTCTGACCGAAAAATTTGTCGATGATTCGTTGTTGGCCGTAGAACGTCTGGATGGAGGTAGCCAGCGTGGCCGGCTCTTTTATAGGGCAGATAATTGAAAGAGAGCCTGCCCGGAAGCCCTAGTAAAATTGATGCTCTCGGCAGCCAGCTGCCGAGAATTGTGATTGGCTGAATTTACGTTGACGACAGGTTGATTGACATGTTACGCTAATTTATTCAACAATTTAAAAATAAATACAGTAAAAACAAACGGCATCGCTATATTAAAGTGTAAACCTGTCGGCTAAAATATAAATTCAAAAGAGAAAGTGTAAAATGTATAACATATACCGGTATCTAAACAGAATAAGGCAAGCCATACTGCTATCACTGCATATGTCGTATGATTTTACCGTATGGTCACTATAGTATAGAGTATAAAACCTTGGCTGTCCTTGCCTTGTCTATATTTTGCTGGCTGGCAAATTACGATTATATAAAATAATAATTCCCCATTGTGTTTAATACACCATAATAATCCGAAGCTCTCTTTGGAGCATTTAAAATACATTTGCCTGCCAACGTGTATAACACGAGAAGGGTTCTATTACTTTTCCTAAGTCATTTATTATATTTAATACTGCAATATTTATAACTGTATTTATACAGCCATACAGGTGCAAAGCATAACATAATTTTGAACGGTCTTCGTCTACTATTAATTTCCAGACAAAGTCGAAGGGCCTTCGCTTGAAATGCCGACGTTTTGCTTGTATTTCCAGGCAGTTGAATCGCTATCCATCTATTGTAAAAAGTTTTATATTGAAAGCATGTAGCGCAGGCTATAGTAAATATGCAACAATTGACATTTCAAGTCATCAATTTATACAAAACTATTTCGAGTGGGCGGTGTTAATATGGAATATTAACTAAGTGGGCGGCATCAATTTGACTAGGGCTTTCGGGCAGGCTCTACTTATAAAAGAGCCGGCCACGCTGGCTAGGATGGAGGAAGCGTTTCGACGGCAAGTGGTTCAAGTCGCCGTTTCCTAGATGGACGAGGAGGCTTTTTCGAGCCGACACTCTTTGGAGCTGAAGTTGCTGCCACATTATTCAGGTTCCTTCCAGGAAAATTCTTTAAGAGGCCAGGCATCCTTTCTTTGTGTTTGGCAATCGCCACGGAGTGACAACAAATACTGTTTCTTGAATAATATAAACACCCACATATTGTTTTTCCGCTTTTGAAACAGGTTACCTTGTATGAAATACTCTCTCCACTGTCCACAAAATAAACTCCATCTTGGAACCCTTCTCTGAATTTGTTGCTTTGAAGAAGCGCTTCAGCTTTGGTTTTTATCCCACTGACTTCTTCTTCACTAAAATGTCTAGTTAGAGGCTGAAGGATGTGTGGTTGGATGATTGATGTAGATTGATCTGGGCGTCCCTTCGCACATGGAATCCAAAGAGACGATACACAATTAAAAGAAATTGATGGGACATTTAATGATGATTAGACAGGGTGTGATTGTCTAATTTATTCTAGCCAAAGTCTAAAGTCCAGGTTACACTACACAACAATAACGATAACTTGTATACGCGTGCTGATTGGTCAAAATTTATCGTTATCGCCCGACTTAAAAAAAATCGCTCAGGTGAGCGATTTTAAAATCGTTATCATCAAACAATAATTTTATCATTTCCGTTGTAGTGTAGACACTAACACGATTTTTTTTGCCAATTATCTCCTATTTACAAGTTATCGTATCGTTATCGTTCTGTATTGTGACCGGGCCTTGAGGGTTAGTTTTTGAGGGAGCAAAACCAGAGAAAGATAAACTCTCGAAACACAAAAGAGAACTAGTCCGTTACAGGGAATAAACAATCTATTTATTTATTTATTTATTTATAAGATTCGCCAGACTATACAAATATATACATTTATAACATAATAAGTAAATACGCGAATGACCACAGAGATAAACTCTCAATTACTAGAAATTTAACCAATCTAGTACATGGCAGCAAAATCGAAATTGTTAAGCTTGTTTTTTGTAAAATCTTTCTACAAAGCAATTTTTGACGAAATTGTGTCATTACGGATAAACTAAAAATAACTATAGAGGTCAGGTTGCCATCCGCAAGCTGTCTTGAGTAAAGAGAAATAACTATAGAGGTCAGGTTGCCATCCGAAAGCAGTCTTGACTAAAGAGTTGTTTTTAAATACAATGATAAAGCTCTCCCCACAAATGTCTTGACTGTGTTCAAACAATATCAAACTTATAAAAGAACCACTGACCTATTCTGGTGCTTGAGGACTACTGAATTTGAAGGATTTGCAATTGTTATATGCAGTAGCATCTGGACGGATCTTTCTCATCTTGGTGATTTCTCCTTGCCTTTGATCTGGCGTCATATTACTGAAACCCTTGGGGCGAAGATGCTGGTACTCAGCTCTTACTTCCCACTTCTCAGATAACCCAAACCAGGCAAGTTCTTCCTCTTCGTCAAAACTTCCAATTAACTCGTACAGAGACATGATTAGCTTGTCCATGTCTTGTGCTGTGAAGTTCATCCAGTCCTTGATGAGGTCATTTGCACTTTCCACAACATTCTGAGTATACTGAGCGTCGCCAAGGCCAAGATTACTGACAACGAATCTACACAAAGTGCAACCGGCTTAATAAAGACACGTTATATGGAAAACACGACTGAACGATAAAAACTCGAAAGATAAATTTAATATTACCAATCGACTTCATTTTCTTGGGCAAGCTTTCTTTAGCTAGTATTTCGTTGGGGGATAATTTATTGACAAACGAAATAAAAAGTGAAATTTAAAACTTTGGGGTGACGAGTTGGCTGCGGCGAAGACTAAAAGCTTCGGTTGTACTTCACGACATCCACGTTCACAAAGACAAAAATATAATTCTCGACATTTCGAAAAAAGGCCCTTCGTCAGGAGAGTACTGGCTAGTTCGGTTAAAAATTACGGTATATGAATAAGAATTAGACTGTTTTAGTTTATATGAATAAGAATTAGACATGTTTTCTATCATACGAACCTGCACATCTTGTTCTTCATGTCTTGCTTCTTGTATCACAAGAAGTAAGATGGGAACTGTGGATCGCACTTTCGTTCATTGGATTCGAGTGCGTCCCACTTCTCCACCAGTTGCGTTGTCTGCTTCACAAATAATTCGCTTGACTGACACCACAATAGGCCATGCCGTCCAAACAGATCTAAACAGTTTGCAATTTGCTTGCATTTCTCTTGGACATTTTTCT